GTCAATTTCTTGTGTAAAAAGACCACCTTCTGTTCAGTACAAATAACAAGGTGATACGGTTCACAGTTTAAGGTGATACGGGTCAATTAAGCTGATACGGCAGGGAGGATTTCAAACTGAAGCTGATACGGAGCCGTATCAGCTAAATGGCCTGGGGAGAACCCTGATTGTATATAATGAAGATTATTTATTACATATTGTATATAATGAAGATTATTTATTACATATTGTATATAATGAAGACTAATTTGTAATGTAATAGTTATTTATGTATATACTGTAGATTATTCATTTGTATAAAGCGTAAATTATTTATCAAATTGTAGATAATGTTAATTATTTATAGCATATTGTATATAGTGTAGATTACTTATTTACTTATTTGTAATTTGTATAAATAGAGAATAATACATGTTGTACATCTTGTAGAATTGGTATTTGACGTAAATTATTGTTAGAAAACATTGTAAGTATACATTTGCAAAATGAAAATATGTACAGATTGTAAATTTAAAAAAAAAGATGCAGAGAAAAGAAAGGGCTTGCCGTATATATCAAACAGGTGCCCTATTGTTCTATGTTTGCCCTATGTTTGCCACCAATCGTCTAGAAGAAGAACGAAGACTTAAGACGGGAGTCTGAAGAGAGAAGACCACACATTTGCTTCTGCCTGGTATTTTTATTGAGTCAATGTAATAGCGATTAGAATTTCTGTATGCATTCTTTCTCCTCATGCAAGGGTTCGCAGGTCTGTCAAGCATTGCAGAGAGAGAGAGAGAGAGAGAGAGAGAGACAGTCCATGGGTGCAATACCTGAAATCAGAAGGTAAAAAGGCAGAAACAAGGGGAGTTAATTCCGTCAAAATGACGTCACACTATACATACACACCGATTGGAAACAGGGGGAGATAATTCAGTCGGTAACACTAAAAATGATGACGTCACACGCAAAAAACCACATGATGAAGTTATATGGGGCCGTAGGTTCATGGGGTTGCTAAGGCGCCTTTTGGATCCAAGATGGCGATTTCCTTAGCAACCACACCCCATATCGTCGTCTATTCATCAAACAGACGTCCCGGGTGAGATCCTTAACGAAGATATTGAAATATCAATTACCACGGTTACATACCTGCCGAATTGATCCACGAAAAAACCCAAACGACTGTGGTTACCGGTTACATATTTCTAACCTGTGTCTCCATATGATGTTACCTGTTCGCTTACCTGTAGTCACGTGCGTTTACCCAATATGAGATACCCTATACGCTACGTTCCATATCAAATCATTTTTGAAATGACCCTTGTCTAGGTCTCTGTCTCCACGCTCCGTGCTAGGTCTACCCCAAAGTGAGAAAGGCCTACTAGCCCATGTACACAGTGTGTAAAATAGTTTAAGATTTATATGAGTCATAGAAGTTCTGTCTTGGTGCATAACCTGTGAATCCCTGTCAGCGGTTCGTATCGATACTGACCCCGTGATGTAGAAGTGGACTATATCAGGTTTGCCTGGCGCTGTGTAGAAGCGTACAAGCACACATCTAGCTATACATTCCCTCTTACTTTAGTTTGCAAGTGTTCGCAATGCAGATACAGGAATCGACTGTAAACGGGAATCTGATTCGTTTCAAGCCATACAAAGGTTTGAAATTCCATCCAGATATTCCAGGCAGGGTAGAAGACCATTTGAAGGATGTTTCTTCATTATTTCTACGATCGGACGATGTATTGTTGTGTACATATCCTAAATCAGGTAAAAATGTCATTTTTTCCTTTTAAAACTCAATTATAACTGTTCCCATTTCAGTCCGTTATGTTATATATACAATATGTACTGCTTAGCTGTCTCTGAACCAGATCACTAGATATTTCATTTCAAAACTACAGACAGAATATGTTTTACTAAGCCAACTATATACATGTAAAGACAATATATTAGGAATCGACGATACTTTGTTTTATCCTTTCTCTAGATATGTTTAGCAAAGAGAAATTAAAAACACGCTCCACTCTTAATGGCGTCTCAATTTTCTCTAAAACAAGTGATTTTATTAGACTTTTCACAATGTTTGTATTAAAATGCATTATATGTATCAGGAAGATCAATTCTATCACAATTAAAGTGAAGAGTATTACGATAATCTTATCTAAAAGTGTTGACATGCCATATAGTTAATTTAGCTGAAACTAAATCATTAAAAAATTACTGATGAAATGTCGTTTTGATGGCCACAGATACATGTATATATTTTAAGTAATGACACAGTTCATGATATGCACACGTTAAATATTATTTCATTTGAAACAATCGAGAAAAACTATTATTTATTTTAATTTATGCTTATCAGATATTTTAAACGTTTTTCTATTAATCCCTCCTGTTGGCACGGTCAGAAGTGCACAGAGGGTTTAAGGTCGTTGGAAACCGGAATACCCGGGAAAAAATTCCCTTTATGGCACAATCATTTTCCACGTCTGATCGGGGAACCTAGCCCCGGCCGTCTACTCTTATTGTAGTATTATAGCTTGTGAAATAACACAGCCTCGTTCCGGACTATGACATCACACAGGGGCGGATCTACTCTAAATTTTAAACAGTATACACTTGAAAATATATATAACCATAATGTACCAAAAATATACATATTTGCACGATTAAATATGCCAAAACAATTAATTGTAATCCACCTGTTGACTAGCTACATGGTCTTGGCATCTTGTAAAACTCATCAGAACACGTCACCTGATACTGTACATGTTTAGAAAAAGGCAGTTGCCAATGACGGCGACATTAGTCTATATTTCGGATGGTCCTAAGTTCGAACTCAACTGGTTCGTGTATTTCAGATTTCCTGTGAGTATTTATCCTGACATCGTCAATGTATTGATATAGGTCTGAAACAACTCCATGTCATGTGAAACGGTAGGAATATGTGCAATAATTACAATATTCTTCACAACAGATGTTTCATTTTGTTTATTAGTTCACCTGGCCCGAAGGGCCAAGTGAGCTTATGGCATGGTGCAGCGTCCGTTGTTCGTTCTTCGTCCGTCCGGCGTCAACTTTTTACTTTAAACAACTTCTTCTGAATAACCAAGAGGCACAGGCTGATGATGTTTGGCCTGTAGCATGTTGGGATGAAGGGCTACCAAGTTCAAATGAATGACATTGACCCACTTTCAAGGTCACAGGTGTCAAATGTCTTAAAATGTTCAAACGACTTCTTCTCAATAACCAAAAGTCCCAGGGTACTGATATTGGGACTGTAGCATGCTTGGATGAAGGGCTACCAAGTTTGTTCAATTGAATGACCTTGACCCACTTTCAAAGTCACAGGGGTCAACTATGTCAAAATATTTAAACGACATTTTTTCAATAACAAAAAGGCCCAGGGTACTAATATTGGGTCTGTAGCATGCTGGTATGAATGACTACCAAGTCATTTCAAATGAATGACCTTGACCCACTTTCAAAGTCACAGGGGTCAACTATGTTAAAATATTTAAACGACATTTTTTCAATAACCAAAAGGCCCAGGGTACTGATATTGGGACTGTAGCATGCTTGGATGAAGGGCTACCAAGTTTGTTCAATTGAATGACCTTGACCCACTTTCAACCTAATGTCTTTGTTAGACATTCAAGGTCACGGGCGTCATATGTTTAATAGGTTCTTATGAATCAAACACTGATATTCTGCCTGTAGCTGTATTTTAGTCCACTTTTAAGATTACAAGTGTGAGATTAATACCAGGTGAGCGATGCAGGCCCATTGGGCCTCTTGTATTTATAGCATCAAGCTGTTACCATTATTTAAATGTTGGCATATACAATATTCAAACACCATAGATTATAAATTCAAAAAAAAAAGTATGTCCTTACCGTTGAATAAACACATTTACATTATTGAAAGTGTCAAGCGGGAAAAATGTATGTACTAATCGACGAGACAACAAAGTGTTATAGGTATGACAGTGTATATCTGATAGTTCATAACTGGCCAATCAGAACACTTCCCCCGGTACTGTACAAGTTTGAAAAAACCAGTCGCCTATGACCGTGCCGTTCGCCCGGATTTTGGATTGTCCCGAATTTCAACTCATTTGTTCCCTCTTGCATTTTTCGAAAAAATCTTCTAGAATATTGTATGTATATGTGTGTCAATATATATATGGTACATTACACTAGATAGTCTGTGTGCTGTTGATAGTCAATATGAGTTGCGCGTTACATTTTGGCCGTTTTCGTCTACCGTGTTCGAAACGGTTGGACCGCATCAACGAACAGGCCTTTTTAAAGTAACGGCATACCCCTGTGATATATTGTAATGCTTGTTATCAGTTGCTAGGGAAAGTTCTTATTTACACAGGGAATGCCCACGAAATTCCCAAAGGTAAAGTCTCCGGATGAGGCTTCTTTAGAAAGGGAATATTGTAGCAGTCAGGGTATACGAGGAAAATACTGCCTTACTAAACATTTAGGATTTTCAGCTATGAATGATAATGTTGGTGGAACATATAGGGTTAGAAAATGTTGTTGGAAAGATTACAAGTAACTTCAACCTTAGTTAATTATTTTTCCAACATTATTCAATCCCATTTTTAAACTTAGGCGGTTTATGACATATCGTTATGAAAAATATACAATATATGAAAATTTGATTTTAAGGTTAAGTTTAAATAAATTAATGTTCTTCAATAGTTATGATAGGATAAGAATATTAGATACTATAATGTAAGTTGTTTAGTTTTGAGACTCAACTGGGCGTTAGAGTAACAGAGCAAGTTTCATTTAGCTAACCTACCTTGAATGGCTTACTTCTTTGCTATCGTGACATTGTTGTCGTTTCAGGAACACATTGGGTGTATAACATGATACAGATGATACGGTCAGTATAGCGGGACACCACACATGCTCGAATTCCACCCAACAAGCGAGATTGATCAACTGGATTCACCCCGAACGATCCACACACATCCTACCTACCCATTGATACCAGAAATGGCCAAACAGGGCAAAGTGAAGATTGTGCATGTTCTGCGAAATCCAAAAGACGTAATAGTGTCTTTTTATCAGCATTACAAACGAGTAGGAAAACCGATCTATGAAGGCGATTTCAACGGATTTTTGGATTTCTTTCTATCAGATGAGAGTACTTTGATTTTTTTTAATATATTTATTTTATTATAATCTATTTATTTATGCTTTTTTTTTTAAATGAAAAACTATTTCAAAATTATAAAAATATGACAAGAAGATGCGAAATTAAGCACACTGTTATTACGATCGACGCCTTTATACATTTGTGTTAACAGATCTTGGAGGGAAAAGCGGAAGTAAGGGTCCTGGAAACATTGTGAAAATACATGTTGTAAAATCAATTTCTTCAAAATTTCAAGAATGCTCATTCAGTAAAAGAGACGAAAGTGTTTCATTTTCCCTAATGTTCAATGTTCACGTTCGCTAGTACTGCTTCAGTTACGTTGACCAATATTGAAATTTAGGTTTGAAATATCTTTGAAATAGTGAGTTTACTATATGAATTATTGTTAATTTAGATGCACTGTTTGGTGGAAATTGGTTTTCGTACGTTAGGGAATGGGAGAATGTCAAACTGACATACAGAACCTAACGGTTCTCTTTCTGCAATATGAAGATATTAAACAGGTTTGTCTATAAAGATATCCATTCTAACTGAATGTTATAAAATAAATAACCAGATAAGGTAAGTCTAAATGTAAGCAAGTATCTATTACTATCAAGTATTTATGACAATTTTTTGTTGAAAAAAACGCCGTTGTCGTTGAACAGATTGTGTTATCCTTTTTGAAAACACTAATCTTTAGAAGTCAAACAAATCCATTATTTGTCTAATTGTTGTTGTTTTGTGCAAAATTAAAAGCCTCGTCTAAATGTATATAGATTAGAGTACCTACACATTTCCAGAGCTGCGCAACTTTTGATGGAAGTGTATTAAAAACACTTTTATACAGACGGGTACATATTATGATAAGGTGAGACATTTAATTATTACATTTCATTCCGACGGACTACATTTCCCATTATCGCGTTTTGTATTAAGATGTCATTTATGTATCAACTAATCAACTAAGTCGTTAATTTTCCAGAATCTGTATGACACCATCAACAGACTTGTAGAATTCCTCCAGCTTGATCGACCAGAATCATTTCTGCGTGACGTGGAAAAAGCAGTTCAATTTGAAAATCTTCAAAAGGAACATGAAACAATAGCAGGAGAAACGAAGATCTGGAAAGTTTTCGGGGACGGTGGAAGATTACCAATTTATAGGAAAGGTAACTTTTTGTAGATCATTGATACTTGTATAAATATAAAATCTATTTTGTTTTTAGCTCAGCTGGTCCGAAGGACCATGGTGAGCTTATGCCATACCGCAGCGTCCGGCGTCCGTCCGTCCGTCCGTCCGTCCGTC